AAAAAAAAAAAAAAATACAAGCACGCCAATTAATCCTAAAAATGTTCATGCTTTGGCCTAAAAAAAAAAATTAATACAAGTATAAGAACCTGTTTAGCCAAGCGAAATCAAGCAGGTTCTTATATGTGGGTTACAAGTAAATTAAGAAAAACACTTTAACCAAGGAGTTTGACTTCGAGATAGCCAGTTGAGTATTGCAAGAACATACTGCACTAAACTGTGCAACTACAAATAGAAGTGTAACCGTAATTCCTACAAAAAAAGGTTTATAAAGGTGCATTAAGGAGGTTTGCAATGTACAGTTGCAGTGAATAAATACTGTTAAAATTAAGGACCAAACTCAGGTTTCCTTATGGTCAACAACTATATCCTCTTCATTTGATTGATTTTCCGCAGTCCTTTGTCATGTTAATGGTCGCTTTTCTCGTGTTCATGATCACTTGTAAAGTCTCCGATTTTACCAATTTGCAATAAGTCCGACAATTTTCCGCTTTACTTGCCATTTTGTTATATCCCTGTCCTGCAATTAAAGCATATCTTCACACAAAGCCGACACAGCTCTTTAAATAAAAGTTATGTTATCTGAAGGTTCGAGTTATATTATTGTATTTCAAGTTTCATGTTGTGCCTTGTTTAAACTAGGAGTTTTTGAACAAGAGACCAAGCATCATTAACGTGAAGCATTTGTCAGCTGGTCAATTTCTTTATTCTTATTATCTACATACTGAGAAACACTCACCGAAAAGCTACGTCGTAAATTTTTATACTGCATCTTAATACAGCATCATTCAATGTAACAAATGTTTTCACTAGTCAATCACGAACTGTGGTCGTTTGGACCTAAAGTGGATTTTAGTCTTAGCAAATTCTGCGATTTCTCCAGTTTTTCGCAATTTTGGGAGAAGTCGCAGAAATCGTAGTATTTGCTGGGCACCCTTCTACCTCCTCTACAGGGGCGGATCCAGGATTTTTTTTAGGAGGGGGTGCACTCGTCTCTTGCTCTACTTCAACACCAATAAACCACATATTTTTTTTTTGCAGAATACCAGTTGTATTAGAAAACCGCAGGTCATCTCGGGGGGGTGGGGTGCGCACCCCCTGCACCCTCCCCCTAGATCCGCCCCTGCTCTAACCCTGCATGAATTTAGTAATTTAACTAAATTCTGCGATTTCTCCAATTTTTCGCAATTTTTGCTGCTGCGTGCAAACTTGGACGTATCAAAGTAAAAGAACCTTGGCGAGTGTTCACTGTATAACGTTTCTTGCAGTCAGTTAATAAAATATTAAAAAATGAACTAAATACTACCCATGCTAACACAAAGACACCAATACAATCCGAATAATTTATCAGTCATCCCGATTTAAAAATAAAAATGCTTCCAGGAAATAAAAAATAATGAATTTCCCAGATTTGAGCTGAGTACGCACGGGCGTATATGCTCAGTATATGGACGTTACGATCCTGACACTTTGTTGACGAACAAGGAAATAAGATGTGTAAACTACAGACTGACTGTGCCATGAAAGCGCAATGCGACGACTGGTTTGGTTAATATAACGTTTCTGGCTGATCATGAAGTTCCAAGTATCTAGGAACTGTAGTTATGTCGACATGACACTTGCTACTGTTATTTTTTTGGATCTTGACCAAGTTTGGTGTCAAACATTTCGTCATCAAACGTGAATCAGTACAATCCGCCAGTTGAGGTACCGCGATTGGCCAATTTCAGGTATGACTTGAAAATTCTACATAAGACCCAAGAATGTAGCAAAGAAATATGAAAAAGGGGCCATCGTAGTTTAATAAAAAATAAGACACTTGCGCATTT